ACTGTAAATTGTGGAATTTCATTGAAAAAAATTACATCGTTTTACTGACTTTTATCTTATCAGGTTTGAATAGAACATTCTCCTTTTTTTTTTATTTGATCACACTTCTGAGTCATTACTAAGATTTAAGTAGATATCGGCAGAAGGATTCAGGTGTTAGATTTTCAATATCACATCATGAATTTCTAACAACAAAAGTATGGCAATTAATAAGATTTTATTACTTTTGGTATATTGTGGTAAGTTGTTCATAAAGGTATAAATTGTAGAAGTAAATTATAAGCTATTATATTGTTACAAATAATTTTTTTTTAATACAGAGTTAAAATTAATATGGTCACAAGTAGTTATACCAAAATCAATCAGAGAGTGTTACAGAAATAATGCTACATTTGATTCTCCACTTCCACTGAATTTGCGTATAATAGTGGATATCATACAGAAAATGGAGAAGCATTCAACAACAGATATGAGAATAATGTCATCTTCAATATTACATAGGTTGTAAATATAACACAAATACATTTAATCTTATTATTGCAAATAATAATATACATGACATGTTATAAATAACAGATTCAAATTTGATGGTATTGAATATCAAAAGAATGTACAAGCTACAGATAGTATACTTCCATTCAGTGGAACTGGAATGCAACGTACTAAGCATAGACTGATAGAGGAACTCGTTCCAGGGAATTTAGATGCTTTACCAATGCATGTACTCTCTCAAGCAGAACGTTGTATACTTCATCAGGCTATTTCGAATACAATTGTCAGACCTGACAATGAAGACAAATACAAACCATGTGGTCAATTTATTCAAACAGAAAAATTAACAGGTAAACACACAATAATTATGATAAACAACATAAGTACAAACAATTATTATGTAGGTAAAATTGTACTTACCAGTACATGGAACTGTCCAAGACAACAAGGAGTGATCTTAACACCATATGGTACTGTTGCTCCTGGGTCAGTTATAGGAGCCATTGCAGCATCTCTCCAACATCAAAATGTTGCTGTAAATCATTTAGTTGCACGTTTGGATATACCTCCCCCAGGTATAACATTAACATAAGTGTTCTTATAATAAGTGTTGCTTAATAATAATCGTTTTTTTTTATCAGAAACAAACTTTTCAAGTATGTATAACTTAGAGTACAATGAAGAGGAAATTGATTTTGTTCTACCAAAAGCTCAAATGATTCATAAACCATCTATGTGGTACCAAACTTTAATAAATTCACCTGTGAAACTTGACAATGTTTGGCTAACCACAATTGCAGGTAGAAAATAGAGTTGTATTAACATTTCTATCTTTGTTATACAGTATGAATGCATAAAAGATATGTTTAATCAGGCGAATTAGCTGAAATGGTAGTATATCAAGGACCTCTGCTAGGAAATAACATGACCCTTGGTGCAACAGGATTCTGGCAGAATACAATGCAACCAACAATTTATTATCTCACAAGTTCATATGAAAATTTCGATGCAACACGTTCGGAATTAATAGGAGGCATTGATGGTTAGCTAATAATACATTTCTAATATTATTTAAACGTTAAATGTGTAATTAATTATTTACAAAATGTTTTAGGTATGATAATTGCAAGTTACTTGCAGACTTGGATTCAAGACTTTTATAGTCTACGACTTAGTCAAATTTTAGAAATGTATTATTCTTATGAAGGTGTTACTTTCAACACGAACGTAAAAGCTTGCGACCGAGCACAAACATTTTTGTACGCAGTGCCGAAAACTATTTTAAATGAACAGGTTTGATATAATGATAAATAAAATTACAGAAGAATACTATATTATTTTTATTTGAAAATATTGTTTTTGCAACAGACTTATGCTATAGCTCAAATGCTGGGTTATCGCAATAGCATTGCGTATATTTCTCCGGAAGCGTTGCAACGAATGGTTGACGTTGCTATTGAGAAATTTTACGCCTATGCAGAGAATCATCTGTTCCCTGAGTTACCTTGTCAGCAACAGACAGATCGACCTCGAATAGAAGCATTGATTGTTTTGGATGGTGCATGGTCAATAGATTATACGATAGATTTCTTAGCGTAAGTCAATGTGTATACTAATAGACAATTCTTTATTACATAATTTTATTTCTAATTAAATATACGCTTTAGGGTTTTGGTACAAGATTTAGATGTGTCAATTTATGGGTCAAAAATGGGAATAATACATGGTACTTCAGGAGAATGGTTATTAAATGTTACTGACAGTCCATCACTTGTGTTTCAAGCATTAAACAATTTTACTAATAGTTCATGTAAGTTTTATTAATTTATAAAAATATCTATAATTTTTATTCCACTATCCATGATGTAATATTTTTTAGGGCCCACACAACTGAATTATACGCAAGTATTAAAAACAGTGTCTACTCATTTAAATGAAACTTGGGAATATAATCGAAAGCACCATACAATTGGAAATCTTGGACAAGTAGTCATACTACTAACTCCATTGGGTTATATGTCAAATAATGATAAACAGTTTGTAATAACGTTACTGCGTCAAATAAAAAACAATCACCCGGGTAAATATAGAACTTCTTATTGTACACTGAAAAGGAATTTTTTAAAATTAATCTTGTTTTTAATATTTACAGATGTTCACTTTGTATATTACGTATCACGATATAACACTAATTTATTTACGTCGTATATTTTATCACGTGAAGATCATATAATAAAAAATTCTAATATTGATTCTATCACTCAGTATGTGTCGACAAGTACGTTGCATTATGTTAAAGTAATTAATATTAAAACCATGGATTTAATATATAAAGCTATTTTCTTATAAATTTTTAGTTCCACGAGCATTAAGGCCTGCAAAATTTTCGAATTTAAATAGTTCAAAAACTTTAACTCCTCAATTTGAAGATTATATAACTCCCTCAAAATCTATTACATATAGAATACATTCATATTGGAAAAGGAATATGAAAAAGACAGTGATAACAGTTTGTATAAAAAAAGGATTATTTCAGGAGCCAGTTAATTTTTAATCATTATTATCGCGATATTATTTTTCAGATTCATGCGTTCGGTTACGGTACGATGAAAGCCTGTTTATGGATAGGATTTGAACCTACTGATAGACAATACCTGCAATGTGCAGAATTATCTGGTTATAACGAACTTGCATTAATTGATCACTACAAATGTACCAAAGCTTCACCCTGTCCTAATATATATCTTAGTATACAAAACGTAACTTCTTTATATAAATGTGCTGGTAAATATTAATTATTATCAATAACATTTATAAAAATAACAGGAGTTTTTAATAGCATAACACTTTTAGAAATGGATTGTAAAACACCGGATCAAGTAAGATTTATCATAAGGACAAGTCCACAAAATTCACGTTACGATAATTCCGCGGGTAAAAATGTAATGCTGGTCTCATTGAATATTTTAGTCTTATTTATACTTCACGCATTCATGTGAACTTTATTAACATACGAAAACTAGTCCTTAATTTTTGACAAATTCTTGTATAATTTTTATTACTGAACAAATTTATATTTTATTATAAAATTTCTAATATAATCTATTGTATAGAAACCTATTTATGCGTACTCATATACAAATTTTATCAGGAATTGAAAGTTACTCGATGCAGCAAGACTTCCTAGTTCAGGTTCTACCAAAAGCATTTCAACTGATGGAAGAAATTCATTTACCTCACCCCCTATATGATAAACAAAGTAAAACGTCTGACAATAATTAATAATTCCATTCCTATTTTCAAGGCGATTAATGACGTACCCATAAAATGTGCAAGATCCATTAACTTAAAAAATATCGTTTCCTGTACTTGTTGCTCGGGATTCTTCCCTATTGTGTCCCATTGATCACGTTTAGCAGCTCGTGCCCAAATTCGTAATTTTAAAGACACTTTTTCATCTTCTTGTTCCACATATTCGAGCAAATCAAGAGCTTTTTTAAAATCGTACTCGTTTGCATCAACGTTATCCTCAGATGTGTACAACTAAATCAATTAAACGATACTTGTATAAAGTGTTTCATGAAATAACATGTTTCATAAGGAAAAATAAATACCGTAATTAATTCTGTTGGCGTAAATACTCGTAATTTTTCTACATCGTAACCATACGTCGTAAGTACTTGAGTTGGCAAGTCTTCTTGATGAGCTATCAGCGCCAATTCGTTGTCAATCTTTTTTACACAATCTCTCACTTCCTCTTCCGGATCGTCTGAGACAAGAAGAGCCAATTTTGCTAAGGAAAGCATGGACTGTGAAAAACGAACATTTATTTAATTAAAAGAATTAAACAAATTTTTCAAATGAAACCTCCAAAATTTATACCTTTTTACGTGTCACCAAATCGCTTTCTTGAATTGCCAAAGAGTGAAGCGTGTTAGCAGCGAAGCGTAAATCGTCCGTCAGGGCAGATTGCACCCATGATAAGGTAGGATGTTCTGCCAATTTTTCTGCTAATTCAACAGTACCGCCACGTCTACATTTTTCTACCAATTGTCCTTGTCGGCCATCTTTCACGTACCTATAAATAAAAACAATCAAGAAGTAATGTTTCGTTTAGAAATTGTTAAATATAAAGCGAACTTACCATGAAAATAAAAATCCTACAAAATCTTGAGCTGCGAATTTTTCTATATACCCATCTAGTCGACTTTTATTGTTCGTTAATTCACATATTTGTATAAGGGACGCAAAATCACAGTACTTTTCAGCTAACATCGCTGCGCTATCGTACTGTTCTTCCTTTACTATAAATTCTCCAATACAAATACCAAGTTTTACAGACATAAGTTAAAAGAAGTAAAAAAATACATACTTAGTGGTTGAATCAGATTCATACGATCCGTTTCATATTGTTTTAAAAGTATCTCGAATTTTTGTGTACCTCGGACACTTTCTAAATGACACTTCCGACCGTCCAATATCAAATCTATGTAACTAACTAATTGTTCATATAATTCGTTTCTCACTGTTGAATCATTGGTTCCGGTTACACCATGTTTAAGACTTAAATTATACTGAAACAATAAGTAAAACATTTTTTGTAACAATAATTTCTCGTATTTGTTAAAAACAAGGACTGTACGAAAATATTCAAATATTAACCATTGTACTAAGACAATTTTTTAGTCCATGTTTTCCAACTGCCGCCGTCCATGGAAGGTACTCTGTTATACCATTTGAACATCTCGTGGGATTAAATCGTTCTGCATTATGTTGTCGACATTTTATCACTTCGTGTAGTATACCCTATTAACATTAAGTATTTAATTACTGCACTTCTTATTATATCCATAATACTATATGAAATTATACTTACTAATAGTATAGCATTCACTTGCATAATATATTGTCCTACTTGTTGAACAGGTCGTTCAGACTGAGTTACTTCAGATGCATTGCTCACTAAAGTAGGAATAAAACGATGCACCGTGCTCACTTCGCGAAAAAATATGTCGCGTGCTGTTAATTCATCGGATACATACGATTCTGGACTTAAAGTTTGCTCTATTAACGGGTCTACAATATCTGGATACCTGAAGGTAATTTAGAATAGCACAATTAAATTAGGAAAAGTGAAAAATTCATAAAAATATGTGCCGTAAAAAATTACCTGTTTTGAAGATTATATATAGTCAGTGCCGCAATTATTTTTTCCGCGTATTCTCCAAGAACATGTGGTGTAGACACAATTATTCCCCTATACGTAACGGCACAAAACTAAATAAACAAATATCGTGTGATAATTTTGGATTAACTAATAAATCACATATTTAAATATGATCACACAACGAAGTAACATACTCTGTTCCATAAATTGTGTTCCTTTAGAAATGCTATAAATAAATCCAATGCTATCTGCTTCCCTTCTAGTTGATTAGGTATTTGCATAGAAGTAACTGCATTTATTGTCATAGCTATAAAAGATATATTTATATCTTAAGATATATATAGTTTTACATGTAGCCGGCATTAGCATTATCCGATATACACCGTAGGGAGGTTGCTCGGTCGGACAATGTTTTAGAAACATTGGAAAACTGCGACTTTATGTTCCGGCAATGCTATACCATTAGTAGTATTATGAAAAACATCTTTATCTATCCCTACGGTGTAGATCAGGTAACGCTAATGCCGGCGACATGTAAAACTTGAAAGCTAATATCTCGATAATAATTTACGCAAAAACCACAAATATACAGTGTTTTAAAAACGACTCAGTATCAGCTACAAGAATACAAGATAAAAAATATACGTTTCCATTTAAAAACTTAAACATGACCTTTACAGGGCTTTTCAAGGTCATTGCAAGGTTAAAAAAAAAGAACAATATGTCGCCTTCTATACCCTACAACTTTCGCCTGAAATATTTCTTGTATCATTCACAGTTTTCGAGATACTTCTGTATTCTGAGATAAACCCGACATATTGTATATATTTATATATTTATAAATACCATTATTGAAGTTCTTGTAAATGTGCCTTATATTTAAATGTACGGATATAAAAAAAATGAATTACACAAATCCCTATGATTTGACCAACGTGGATCATTTGCTGGATAATCATCTACCAAATCTTTAGCAACCTTCAAAACCAATATATCCAGACTAGCATCTATATCCATTACTGGTTCTTCTTGCAAAGGAAAAAGATGTGATAAGATTTCTTCGCATTGTGCCTAAAGTAAAATGATCGTTTTAATAATCACTCATTTCATCATTCTTAATAAGAAAAAATTACAAAGCAAACATACTTTATTTTGACGTAGACTAAGAAGAAACGCAGCGCGCAATTGTTTAGCGCTATCAGAACTATAAAACATGTCCTGAACTTCTTCGTTACTAATAAGACTAGTGAAATGTTGTGCAGTTAAATTAGGTCGATAATTACAATCCATACTTGTATTGATATTATCAGCACAATTTCTAGAAAGAAAAAAATAATACATACATACATACATACATACATACATACATACGCGCGCGCGCGCGCGCGTGTGTGTTACCAATTATAGAAGAAACGAACGTATTAAAATCTTGCGAAATAAAGTCTGTTGGCATGACGGAAACTAATCCGAAATTTTTAGTGAATAAAACTGGAGTTCCTGAACATGAGGCGCCACCAAGAATACTGTCTACTCTTCCACGTATTAAATCTATTTTATCTTGCTCATGCTCAGATGTACCTGAAATATTTTATTTTTTCAATATAAAAAAAAGTCTGCATAAAATCTGAAAAAATGAATAAAATTTAACTCACAATCCACAACAAGTATTTCATACTGATTATATATAATGGCCTCCCAACCACATAATATAAAACGATAAGAAACCAAAGTTAATTCAACATCTTCATAGTAAAAAATAATAGTATCAAATTTAACAGGTATAAACCATTTAAATGTATTTGCTAATGTTGCACCAGACAGCTCTATCAAACCTACAATATTTATTCTATGTAATGAAAAGTGTAGTAGAATGAATCTTACTAAAAAGCTACATCTTTCTTTCATTATTACCAAGTGCAAAATCAATAAATAATGCATCAGCACAATGAGCTGCCATTAAAAATACTATTCCTTCATTACACGGTTGCATATCAATCAACCATGTTTCCATGTTTAGAGGATTGCAAGCACTTGATTCCTGTAATAAAGTAAATGAATAAAACATTATTACTTACAAACACAATATCATACATACCCAAATCTTTCTTTGGAAAGTCTGTGAAATAATATATCCAATATCTTCATCAAATTCCATTTTTTCCTGTTCATTGTGAGGAAAAGACCAATATTGTAAAGATGAACCAGCTAAAATGAGAACTCTTGATCCTCTATCTCCTATAGTTGTGCAAGTGACTTTTACTAATTTCTAAGAAAAAGAAACAATTTACTGTATTGTATATTTCTATTGTAACATCTGTTATTAAAAATTTAGTGGACAAATCTACCGTCTCAGTAACTGGGGACTGAGGTATAGCTCCAAAGATGAGTGAGGTCATTCTACGTCCTATGCCCCCCAACCATCCTTGACTTGTTCTAAGAACCTGAACTGTAACACTATTTTTCCCACCAACAAATTGTGGTTGTAACAATGCCACTGTACATGTAGTTGTGGCTAAAATACAACCATGACCAGGAATATAAGTGAGGCAACCAACTTCTTGCCCAGCAAGTTCTGCACTTGTTTCCACAGAAGATCCTTCATGTGCAACACTAGCCCAAAAGCGTACAATGCCTTCAGGAGAGACAGCCATACAACTGGGTACCTAATTATTAAAAAATTATACATCTGTAAAAAATAATTAATATAAATGGTTCTATGTAGGGTAATAAATGTTAATTACTTGGTGACCTTGGGGTAACCAAACAGCTATACATTCTGCTTTGTGAGCTAAATCACTTTGAGGCAGTAATAGTTCACGACATTGGCTTTTAAAGGTCCTTCTTTGCTTTGGATCATGAATGGTAGTTTTACACTGCCATACAAGTAGTCTACGACCACACACAAGCCAAGCCCAACCATCCACTGAAATATTTACACTGACAGCAGTGTTTTTATCTACGAATGTTAAAGCTTCTGTGACCAGTACAGGTAAAGAAGACCCAAAGCTCTCCACCACATGATTAGATGTTTTGCATATTATTTGCACAGATTGGTTTGAACGTCCTGACATGCTTATCGTTCTATAAATATGAAATTGAAATGCCAATTTATAATTCACGTTTCATTAATGCAGCTTAAAAGTATTCGTAACAAACTCACGAATTATTTTTTTTTAACGATTGAACTATTGACATGCGTTTCCGCGGAGATATCAAACTTTTCCCCAATGAATTTCCTATACTTGAACGATCCATCGTGTTCTTCTTTATTTCAAAATTTTACATAAAAAAAACTATTATACAGATTAATACTTTAAATTGTGTAATTGCTGCTACTATTTTTCTTGCATTCATTCATGTCAATACATAAGTAACTTATTTGTATGCATGTACCGGTAAAACGATTGCATGCGTTTGGCATGAACGATAAAAAATAAAAGAGTTGCATAAATATAGATTTTGATGTATCTTATAGGACGATTTGCAACGTAAATTAAAGCTTACATATAAAATAGATTACAAATATTTTTGAGTAAATGTCATGAATTTCGTCGTAACATTAAATTACAATAAAAACGTTTATTTATTCAATAATACCATGTTTTGATTTTTAAAAATATTTATTTCAAGTTAAATGATACATTTAATCTAGAGTTGTCACCGTATTTTTATCTTTACGCCATCTTGCGGTTACTCAAAGAAACATGACATGGAAATTATAAGATTTATTATTGACAATGAATCTCTTCTCTACTTGTATTTATCGGCTAAAAGTTAGAGGGTACGAATAAAGCGCGTGGTTAACGTTGTAATTTTTAAAACGTGTTTCGTTAGCCAATTCATATAGAAGCACCTAACCACTCGAGAGAAGTAAAGTAAAAGTGACAACATGGTTGACATGAAAAGTGAAGAAATTAATGGGGAGACCGAAGTTCCGCAAAAAAGTGCAAAACAGTTGCTAAAGGAAGCAAAAAAGCAAGCAAAATTAGAGAAGTTTAAACAAAAGCAGGAAAAAAAGGAAAGCGATAAACCTTCGAAACCGAAAGAAAAAAATGAAGTAAGCATAATGTTCTAAATGTTAAGATATTTTACCTTTACTTTCAATTATTAGCTTTATTCTTTACCTTTAGTCTTTGTTTTAATGTTGAATTACGCAATTCGGCCAATTATTTCTACTGTGTAACATAATTAATTAATGAAACTGTATTTTATTTCTTTTTTTATATTTTAGAAAATAGAAAAGAAAAAAGAAAACAAAGAATCTGCTGTGTACACAGTAAATACACTTGCAGGAGAAAAGAAAGATGTTACATCCACAATGCCTGAAGCATATAGTCCAAAATATGTTGAAGCTGCATGGTATGCATGGTGGGAAAAACAAGGCTTTTTTAAACCTGAATATGGTGTATGTAATTAAAAAATACTTTTTCAATTAGACTATTAAAAACTTTTTTTTCTTTGCCTTGTTTTATAATCTTTATATAGTTTCTTTACTTTATCATTAATTACAGAGAAAGAATATATTAGAATCAAATCCTAAGGGTAAATTTGTTATGGTAATACCACCTCCTAATGTAACTGGTTTTCTTCATCTTGGACATGCTTTAACTAATGCCGTACAAGATGCTATTACAAGATGGTAAAAGAGTGCTTCAGCTATAGTATATGTTATATAGAAATGCATAATTCATAAAAGTAATATCGTTTGTCTTGTTTTTGAATTACTATTTAATCATTTCTGAATAATAGTTCGGTGTAAAAGATTTTTATAATTCACAAGGAATCGTATGAAAGGGCGCACAACCTTATGGAATCCCGGTTGTGATCATGCAGGTATTGCCACTCAGGTTGTTGTTGAAAAGAAACTTTGGAAGGAGGAACAAAAATCACGTCATGATATAGGGAGAGATAATTTTATACAAAAAATTTGGACGTGGAAAGAAGAGTAAGTTCAAATAGGCTGCACATAATTGTAAGGCTGAAGTATAGTATCCATACTGCAAAATAGTAGGCTGGAATGAGACTTTTTAGGGATTTTTGAGGTTATTGAAGCTGAAAATGAGGGTCATTTTTTTTTGGAAATAAGACGTTCAGAAGATACAAGTCTCTATATATAATAGATCTCCACTGCTAGTAGATGCACTGTTCAGCAATTAGTATAATAATGTATGCATGAATGTAGTATATAGCTGAAGAATAAATATAAGTATATATATATTAAGCCCAAAAACGCTTAATGAGCGAAAAAAATGACCAGTTCTTTTTAAAGAAGAGTATGGCGAAAGTCGACCGGTAATTGTCATTATATGAAACTAAAGTTAGCTGGACAGAAGTCTTTAATTTTTGTATTTTTAATGGTTTGGTTAGCACATCCGAATTAGGTTGTGGTTTTGGTGTTGAACCTCGTCCAAGTACATAACAATGTTCCCAAAACCCAACCCAATGGCCAAGTATCCATAAGGTCAAATTTTTAAAACTTGATTTCCGTGAAAAATTTTCTCCTTTAGAGACCTAAAATACCCCGAAAAGGCATATTCAAATAAAAAATTTTGCAGTCAGAATACTATACTATATCCAATTTTAATATAATGTCGCAGTTTTATATATGATATTTAAATTTTTAGGAAAGGAAATAGAATTTACTTGCAATTAAAAAAATTAGGAGGATCATACGATTGGGATCGTGCTTGCTTCACTATGGATCCAAAACTGTGTCGTGCTGTTACAGAAGCTTTTATAAGGTTACATGATGAAGGTGTCATTTACAGAAGTAATCGCTTGGTCAATTGGTCCTGTACATTAAAAAGTGCTATTTCTGACATAGAAGTAAAGATCGTAGTTTAAATAGCAGCTTTTCAATCAATTTCTGAATTTAGTATTTATTTTACATTATTTCTAGGTTGATAAATTGGAATTAACTGGTAAGACATTGCTATCAATTCCTGGATATCAAGAAAAAATAGAATTTGGAGTATTAGTATTGTTTGCTTATGAGGTGGTAGATTCTAAGGAAAAGATAGTAGTGGCTACCACTCGTATTGAAACAATGCTTGGAGATACAGCTATTGCTGTTCATCCAAAAGATACTAGGTATGTTCAATTTATCGGAAAATACGTGCAACACCCGTTTTGTAACAGAAAGTTACCCATTATAGCTGATGAATTTGTTGAAGTCGAATTTGGAACAGGTAAATATTTTGATTGAATAGAAAATATAAAAGAAAATAACGTTATTTTAACATTAATTTTTACAGGAGCTGTAAAAATTACACCCGCTCACGATCCTAACGATTATGAAGTCGGGAAAAGACATAATTTACCATTTATCACTATTTTCGATGACAGTGGAAACATTATTGGAGATTATGGTCAATTTACGGTATTTAAATTTTTGGTGAAAATTCTATAATGCCTTGTTTCATTCGTGAAAATCAATACTTTTCATAATATTCAGGGAATGAAACGATTCCACGCTAGAGCAGCTATTATAAAAGAGTTAACAGCTAAAAATTTGTTCATCGAGATCAAAGATAATCCCATGGTGGTACCAACATGTAGTAGATCTAAAGATGTGGTTGAACCATTAATGAAACCTCAATGGTAATGTAATATTTGTATATTTCTAATAATTAAGAAACAAATAAATTACATTTTTATTATTAGGTATATAAAATGCAGTGACATGGCTGCAAAAGCAATGGATGTAGTGAAAACCGGTGAACTGAAAATTATGCCAAATCAATACAAAAAAATTTGGTTCCATTGGATGGAAAATATAAGAGATTGGTGTATCTCTCGTCAATTATGGTGGGGTCATCGTATTCCTGCCTACTCTGTTAAAACGATTAATATAGCAGAAAATATCAAGGTAATTCCAAAGTATGAAAAAATGTGAAAAATACGCTTTATCACACAAATTTATATTATTTAGACAGATGATGATTATTGGGTAAGTGCGCATTCAGAAAGCGAAGCTAAGGAAAAAGCAGCTAAAAAATTAGGCACTATCGTGGATAACATTATTGTTGAGCAAGATCCTGATGTGCTGGATACATGGTTTTCCTCTGGTCTATTTCCATTTTCGATATTCGGATGGCCAGACGAGGTATAAATTATTTCTTTCCTGTAATTTATTTCATACTAACATAAAACTGTTATGTTTTAGACAGAGGAACTTAAAGCATTTTATCCAGGAACATTGTTAGAAACCGGACACGATATATTATTTTTCTGGGTAGCACGAATGGTATTCCTTGGGCAAAAATTATTAAAGAAATTGCCATTTAAGTACGTGTACATTTTAGTCTTATACTTGCTTTCATATTATTAAACGCGCGCGCGTATGTATATATAATCACTTTTACAGAGAAGTGTATTTGCATGCTATGGTACGAGATGCACACGGAAGAAAAATGAGCAAATCGTTGGGAAATGTCATAGATCCTATGGATGTAATTAATGGAATATCGTTACAGGTATATAATTTTTTTAAATGATTCTCTTAAGGTATTTATATAGTAATTAAATATAACCTTTATCCAGGGTCTTCATAAACAATTAATGGATTCAAATTTGGATCCAAAAGAGCTGAAGCGTGCTATCGAAGGACAAAAACGTGACTATCCACAAGGGATTCCAGAGTGTGGAACTGACGCCTTACGTTTTGCTCTTTGCGCTTATACAACGCAAGGTCGCGATATTAATCTCGATATTCTTCGCGTACAAGGATATCGATTCTTCTGTAACAAGATATGGAACGCGGCAAAATTCTCTCTTGCATACCTCGATTCTAATCTTGATTATGATGATGTTCAATTGGTAAAATTTTACTGTTCATATTTATTTCAAGGAATTTTTGAAATTTTTATAAAATTTTTACTTTAACCTGTTGCAGACAAATAAAGATATCCAAAATGATAATATGGTAGGTGCTGGTGATTGGTATAAGAGCACCTTGAAAGAAATGTGCGTACAAGAGGCACTGAATAATTATTTAGGAGATTACCCTTATTTAGATGGATATAATCCCTCGCAGATTGATGTAAAAGTTTACCAAACCTTCGTCAGATTAAATACTAATTTCATGAACTATCCTCACTTGCATCGTTGGTATAAACACGTGGCATCTTATAATGAACAAGAACAATCTGTATTTCGCTCGGAAAAGGGTAAAATATTACCTCAATGTGGTTGCAAGATACACGATCACAATAATAGAAAGAAGCAGGTAAATTGTTGCAGTACAAAAATAAAAATTGAAAAAGATATACTTATTTATTAGGTATTATTAGTTACAAGGTGAGATAAATATGGATTCATGGATGCTTTCTCGTGTAAGTTACGCGGTGAAAACCTGTGATGAAGCAATGGCACAGTACGATTTGCCAACAGCCAGCACTAGTTGTTACAATCTTTGGTTGTACGATCTATGCGATGTTTATTTGGTTTGTATATAATTTAGTAACGATTAAAACATTATTACATCGTTGTATTAATTAATATAAATTATTTAGGAGTATTTGAAACCAGTATTTCAAAGCAATGATAACGAGAGAAAGCACTCAGCAAGTATAACCCTATTTAAGGTGCTAGACATAGGATTAAGACTATTGAGTCCATTTATGCCATTCATAACGGAAGAACTTTATCAACGTTTACCTCGCAAGAAACAGCTTTATCCAAGTATTTGTGTTAGTCCGTTTCCAGAAATTTCGGAGGTATTACTAATTTTGTAAAATTATTTCATTAAATTTTATTAAACATATCTAATTGTGTGATTATTTTCTAGTGCCCCTGGAGGAATGAAGAAATAGAGAAGGATATAGATTTTGCCAACAAATTAATAAAAAATATTCGGTCAACGCGTGCAACTTACAACTTACCGAACAAAGTAAAGACTGAAGCATTTCTTATATGCACTAGTGATAGTCTGAAAGAAAAACTTCTGCAATATAAGCTTTTGATAGAAACGCTCTCGTATTCTACGCTTAATACGATGGAACCACCAACAGGATGCGCTATCGTTACTATCACTGATAAAGTTCAAGTGCATCTACTGTTAAAGGTAATGATACTGCTAAAATAAATTAGGAAGGAACTTTTGGTATATAACAGTTTTGTGTAACAAACATTAACTGTAATATTTGTGCATATTCAAGGGTTTAATTGATCCAAAGAAGGAGATAGAGAAACTTAGCAAGAAGGAAGAGCAGTTAATAGATATTATACGCAAAACTAAGCAAGCTATGGAAATTTCTGATTATAATGTGAAAGTACCTCTGGATGTACAAAATAGTAACAAAGAGAGATTGACAAATAGTGAAGGAGAGCTACAACGAATCATCGATGCATTATCAGCGCTACGAGCAATGTAACGCTTAATTAAAAATATTTTAGGTTTCAGAATTAAAATTCTACATTATCTCCTTATTTATTAAATTATACTATACCAAAATAACATTTTCGTTGTTTCTATTTTATATTTAAAAAATTAGGTTGATATTTTTAGAATAAAAGAATTCTGTGCAATAAAAACGAATAAAATAGGAAACGTAGGTAATCATGATACTATTACTTTTCGTATTTGTTTATTATAAAGCGTTACCAATAAATGCAACAACTATTAAATTTAATATATTCAAAATCTAACAAGGATGAGCTAACCGTTTCAGTAATCGTACTTAATTTGTTTCGATCGATCATTTCCTCTAAATACTGATAATAATTAGTTACGAAGGGATACAATAGAGTTTTATCGGGACATTATATGAGAATGACTATGTTAAGAGAAAAGAATTTAATGAAATGATACAAATTATGATGTAGGCATTATTCTGTCAGTATTAGCTATTATGTTACTACAATTTTCCAAGATGATTGTAATAACAATAATATACCTAAATATGTCTTAAGAATTCATTCATTGGAATGATATTAAATTATACCTTTTCCTCATTCCAGCTTTTAATTTGTTATTGCGTTACTTAATTCAATTAAACGTATCGATTGAAGCAACTTTGTACATAAATTTACAACTTAAATTCGAAGGAACAATGACTTAGAAATTGCACAAAATCCGATTTGTGGCATACTAAAAATATCCTGTCAGTTCTCAATATAAAAAATGTATAAGGACGTATTGTATTACATATTTGTGCTACGAAGTCAAATGATCATTTTCCCCTTTTTACTAATGGCTAGGATATTACAATTCATTCAACTCAATTATCATTTAACTGTAAAACTCCTATTCACAACTATGCTTCTACAGGTGTTCAATGATACTTATGTTTACATGAATAACAAAAGAAAAAAAAAATAGTATTAACATTATATATACAATTGTGTGATATGTGAACAGTAATATATTTCATTACTTATTCAAATTTTGTCCAATTGTTTTGTGATTTAATGGCAGGCGCATTCAACGTTAAACTGAACGTATTATCAATATTAATGCTGCTCTCAGATGTGCTGCATGCTGTAGAATTTTTTGATGGTGAATCACCATTGCTTATGCTAAACTTGTTAAAATCCAAGCCATATGCTTGCAGTAAATCCAGATCACCAATATTATCGGAAGATTTTTGTTGCTTATCGTTACTTTTGTGCAGTGGTTGAAAATAAGGATACAAAGGATTGCTAAGACCTTCACCCATCTCTGGAACATGTAATGATTGAGTCATTTGCTTAGAGCTTGCGAAGTCCGAGGTTTTCGAAAGCAAAGGATCAAAGTCATCGTTGCTTGCTGTCGAATCTAATCTAATTAAATCTGACACTTCGGGAGACTCCTGTAAACAACGACAAGAAGTAGCTTGTTAAAAACAGTAAACAAATCAAGCTTTAGAAAAAAAAGAACAAGATAAATGACGAGAAAATTACATTTTTAGTCAAACAAATCAGCCACAAGAAAGCATAAATGTATAGTACACGTTAAATGACTGTAAAATGATAATTTGAAAAGCGTACATAAGATTCACAATATAAATAATGAATGATGACGTTTACCTTCGAATATGCAGAGCAAGATGTGCTATTGTATGCATGGGATGGAATGTGACAATTAACAGACAACGATGCATTTGCAGCTTGAAAGATCGGTGGTTGCAAATAGGAAGGCATGAAAACTTTACTGGTGTCGAAAGGATCGTTCTCTTTCAAATGAATATCCGAATCATAATTTGGAAAAACACTGTCGATATAAAACGTCGCGTTTTTCGTAGAATTATCGAAATCGTTCTTACATTGCTTTACATCTGTTTTTTGCGTATACTGTGACGCATTATATTTCGTGAATTTGTTTGTGTGAATTTCGTGTAAAAAATTACTCAACTGTACATTTTCGATACATCTTTGCGAAACCGGTAAAAGGGATGCTTTATCAGTTTCTGTGCCTAATTTATTCGGTTTTGAAGCCAAAGAATTAAAGGGAAATGTTTTATTATTTCCACCGATTTGAGCATTTGTTGGTGTATCATCGGTGCTCAATAGAGTATTCGATTGATCGACCGAATTAATTAAGGTGAAATGTGGAATAGAGGTTATAGTTTTTGTATAAGTGGTAACAGTTGGGTTTGTAACAACTGTACTAGGTAGAGGGCCGTGCCGTATATGCCCACTCCATGCAGGTCGCAAGCTGTCTAAACTGCGCACTGGTTTCAACTGAAAGTGATGCATGAAACATTCTTATATTTTATTGAGTAAAAAAAATACTTTCTAAACAGAATTTAAATAAATACGAATCTTGTTCATATATAATATGCTACTTCGTATCAACATAAATTCTTGATTCTGCATGCATATTTAGATACTGCTTCGAAATTATACTATTTCAATTTGACCAAATAATGATTCATAAGAAAGAAATATCTTTATGCAGTACACATTAAAGTATCTAGAGATGACACATGCATGATACGCGCATGATTTGCATACGTTTTAATGTATATTTACTCTCAATCATAGTCATGCTAGTAATGTCACCTGCATACACATATATGTCACAATAAGCGACACGTTACGATACATGTAAATTATACAAAGAGAAGTTTCTACATCGCCGATAGTAAGTGTATTATGTAACTGAGATGCTGTTTGAATTATCTCATACGAATTATATATTCTACTAACATTTTTATAGTGTCGTATGAAATTTGTGCTGACTACTTGTACATTTTTAAGAACTCATACATTTTAGATGAAAATTAAAAATATACTTACTGTTCTATCAACAGGAGGTGTATTAGGAAATATCACGTGTCGGAGCTCTTGCATAAGATCAATGTTTACCCTTTCTGGTGGGGAATCGGATTCTTCTGGGGAACTGGGACTTAACGGCGAATATTGTTTCCTATTGTAATTTAAGTAGTAAAAGTTAACGATAAGAATTAATGTGATAATTTAAAAATAAAACAGTAAATATATACCTTGAATCAGTGAAATTGCTATTACGTATTCGAAGGTCTTTTCTGTAACTAGTAGTAGCCGTAAAACTATTTGGTGATTTCGGCGGGGACGTAAAATCGATAGGTCTTCTGTCAGACGTGGGTGAGCTAGGTGCGGATCTTGGTTGATGGAATCTCATACTAGTATCACTTCTATTTGATCGTCCTGAAATTAAAAAAAAACTTGATATATAATTAGATAAATTTTATAAAAAAAAAAATCCGTAAAACTCTGCGATACCTTTCCATTTCAATCCTTTATACGCCGTTTTCATGTCTTTGCCTTTATCCTTTACCTACAAGTGTATACGTTGTTTAAAGTAACTGTTACAATTCAAATAAATGATTAAAAAATAATAGAAATTTTAGGGCTGCTGTTAGTACGCTTGTTAATATTGGGTTGTTCGGAAAGTTCGTAGCGAAATTTAAACCGTCATATCTCTGTTTCTAATTGACATAGCAATAAAAGTTAAACGGTACTTTTCTTGGCAGTTGAAGGTAAATCCAACGCACTACTCAAATAATTCGTAAGGTGAACGGGGATGGATATAAATCGAATTATATGTTTTGCAGTGGAGCGTGGGTGTTGAATTTTTCGTGGTAACGCTCCACCGCAAAAAATATAGTTCGCTTTGGGAGTAATTTTAAAGGTACTTTGGATTTATCTTCAAATAATGAATAAAATACCTTTTGTTTTTTGTCGCTATCTCGATTAGAAGAGATACGTCAGTTTGAATTTTTCTTACATTTCGCTATGAACTTTCCGAACCACCCAATAGTTATTATTTAAATACACTTGAAATATAAATTTGTTTACACATATATACACAGTAAAAAAAAAAAAAGAAATTTGAAATTAGTATAATTGATAATATATAGTGTGAAAAAAGTTAAAGTACAACAGTACAATAAATCTGGCACATCTAAACTTACTGATTTAACTGCATATTTTACAGCTGGATTGGCCTGGAATCGAAGGCAATCAAAAACAAAAAATAAATTGATTTTGTGAATCTTAGTCGTGAGACTTAATCCGCAGAATATATTTTTATGGAGTGATTAACCAAATAATTAACGCACCTTGTCTTTTACGCTGCGAAAAAATGCAGAGCTTTCTTTTCGCATAGCGTAAGTCCATTCCCGATATTGTTGCATAAATTTGCTACCAGATTTAGCGGAATAGCTGCAAGCTTCCATTTCGAATTCATCCGAAAAACCAAGCCCTGAATTAAGCATATTCAGTCTTTCTTCAATAAACTAAAATTATCGTTATCATAAAGTTATACTCAATTCATAGTAAAAAAATATATATATAAAAAATATTTGTTCATACTTGTTGAAATATTTGTAACTCCAACATTTTTCGTAGAAAAGGTTGCATCGACGACGGTCTGCTTTCCACAAATGCATTCTGATTAAAAGTAATACTCTGTCCCTGCTCCAACGTTAATGCGTCCCTATATCCAGCCGTTAATTGCACCAATGCTCGTAAAAATGCCCTTGACACGCCATCTCCAAGAAGCGCAGATCTGTTACGTAATGCCTTTTTCAAGTTTGCCACCTGGGACAAAGAAACTCTTTATTTTATTATTTAAGATGTGTTTCGATTCTTAAGAATAATCGTTGTTATTCTAAAAGTAAAATTATGTTTTTATACGAACTACGTCCTGAGGCAACGATTCTAAATCTTGAAACGGAGATTCTATAGTGTTAATATCAGCATCCAAAATAACGACTTCGCCTAGATCGCTTTTGCGTACTCTCTAGAAAGAAAAACAATGAGGAATAAAATACAAAGGCATAAATTATTCGTTTTATAATTACAGTAGTCTCCCCTTTAACCGGTTCCTACGAAATCGGACCTCTGACCGTATAAGGGAATGGCCGGTTAATCCTAAAATATATGCTAAATATTATTTATATCATTTACGTTTACTTTTGCTACGTTACGTGACAGGCAGAATATTAAATTTTGGATAGGACCTTAAAAAGTGATAAAAAAAGATTGGATTACAATATTCGACTACAAGAACAGAACTCTTCAGTTAAATTCTTTATACTTTAAGCTTTTTTATTTTATTTTATTTTATTTTTAAATTAATTCCGAAGAATGTACTCATTTCTTCGATTCAAGTTTCTTTTATGATAAATGCTGTAAGCCACGAATGAGCTATGTAATATGGAATTTATCTATTATTTTCCTGTTGGAACTACTAACAAAACTGTGGCCGGTAAAAACGTGACCGGATAAGAGGGTGTCTACTGTAATATATGAATACCTGAAGTGTTGGAGTAGGTACTCCAATTAAAAATGGCATTGGTGCCAATAAATAGTCGATCAAAGATAGCGGTAAAACTGGGATATATATATGTTGCCAAATCATTGGATAAATTAAAGCATTGCATGCTTGAACACAAGCACTTAATCTTGACAGACGTTTCGAAGTGAAAATAATTCGTCGTTCATATAGCATAGAAGCAAATATAATCATCATATTATGAGCATCAACAGCACTGTAATATTCAGTCAAGTTTCTCTAAAAATAATAAGACTTATACACCAAATTCTTACAAGCATTAATACTGATTTTTGTTCACTTACATTTTCAGGTATACTTGGTAATTGAAATTGTTTAGGACTTTGGCAAACAAAGTTCTGAAAGTTAATAGGAAGTAAAGTAAATGAAAAGCTACATGGAAAAAACTATATTACATCACTTACCACTTTAGAATGTGGTACAGGAATAGAAACAGAACTACCAGGAATGGGGACTGGACTTTTATATACAGTTTCAAGAAATTTCCAAAGATCTTCTCCAGTACTATTGCTCATTAAAGTTGCAATATTATTTAAAAGCCTGAAAACATAAAACAAAATTATAATTTGTACACATCTAAATTCTTCAGAATTTATTGTATTACACCATGTATACTAACTTATAAAATATTTCATGCCATGGTAGTGCACTTAAAATTACTAAAGCTGTGTCTGTCTTAGGATCATGTCTGCAAAATCCAAATGTCCACTTTGAGTCTATGCTAGTGAGTACAAATGAGAAATGTTGTACCATCAAACTGAAATAAACATATAAGTTCCAGAATTAAATGAAATTTGCCTAAATCTAAAATTATATATATAAACTTAACATCATTTAATCTTTGAAACTTACTTTTCAATTTCACAAGGATACGCAAATTTAGGGACTGATTTAAGTATTTCCTCATCTAAGAAAGAACTTGGATACTTCTGAAGTATCCAAGGTGGTTTTTCTCCCAATGGTGCAGCTGTCTCACAGAAACATTCAAAAAGATGTTGCACATTGTCTCTAAAAATTTTAATACATTGTTAGAAGTCCAATGTACTGTGTATATACTTAATCCATTAACTGTCATATATTGAACTTTAATTGAGAAACACATTGGGTAATGTGTTTTAAAAAAAAGATACTTTCACTTATTTGATGTATCATACAAAAAGGAAAGGCCCTGTAGTGCAATAAAGATGTAGACGTGTAAAATGAAGTAGAAGGAAATTGGCGACATAATATCTGTCGGGTAGGATGGAAAATGAAAAATCCACTTACCTCAATCTGGAACCCATGATAACAGTGAAAAAAAAATAAGTACTTTATATTCTCTCGACGTCTATACGTCATTGTACGTACTACATAACAGTAATGCATTCCATTCACGTAAATTTTAATCGCATTGCGTAGTTCGTTATCACGCCCCACACTATTTTTATAAATAACGTACTTTCTTTTCCCCTTTTTTTTCCACTACAGCAATGCGTTCTACACGACCATCAAGTACTGTACCAACTATTATCTTGGACTAGTAAGAGCATCTTGTGTCGAAATCACGCCTACCAGATTAATATATATGTACAATTTTCAAGATCATGAGTGTGCCGCATGTTGATCTAGAGTATTTTTCTTTTTAGACTGTAATGTACGTAAATTAATATAGTAAAAATTTATCATAAATATGTTTTCGTTAAATTATTGGATGTTAGAAACAAGAATATTCTATTTTTAACTAAAAGTATGTACATAATTTTAAACTTACTCTTCAATAGTAGTAGCAATTCGCTTATTGGCCGATTGCACCAAGAAATACGTATAAATATTCCTTTCTATATTAATATTATTTTAAGGTGGAAAAATAACGTGGCGGTGCACATCTTTTTACCACAAGCAATAGTGAAACATGGCGCTCAATCTCACAGTGAAGGTTCATCCTGTGGTTTTATTCCAAATTGTAGACGCTTATGAGCGTCGAAAAGCGGAATCCCATCGTGTTATCGGCACATTGTTAGGTAATTTAAGATTTTATATCTATATGAAAATGTGGTGTCATTTAAATTATGAAATCATTATACCAAGAATTTTGACAATATTTTCACTGTATGAAAAACGTTTATTATAAATTAATATATATAGGTACCGTTGAGAAAGGAATGGTTGAAGTTACAAACTGTTTTTGTGTACCACACAAAGAATCTGAGAGTCAAGTGGATGCAGATTTAGTGTACGGAATTGATTTATACAAATTAAATCATAGGGTTAATGCACAAGAAAATATTGTTGGATGGTGGGCAACAGGAAATGAGGTAATGTGTTCTAAAAGTCACATATACACTATTCTAAACAAAAATATTTTATTGGAATAAATCTTACAGGTTACTACTCATTCCTCTGTCATTCATGAATATTATGTTTGTGAATGTAATAATCCTGTTCATCTGACTGTTGATACAACATTAGCAAATACTACTAGAATGGCAATCAAAGCCTATGTCTGTGTCCCATTAGGAGTACCTAATGGAAAACAAGGTTCTATGTTCACACCAGTTAAAGTACAGGTATATTATATGTTATATTCTCTGTAATATAAAATAGCATTTCAGTTGCATCTTTGCTGCTGACCTGTTCAGACGTGTTTATAATTGGCTTGGTTTCGCCTGCATGTGTCAAACATAAACTTTAACAGTGGTAGTGTAATAGGGTGGTAGCAGTAGTGGTACTAGTGTTAGTTCCACTCACCAGCAGTTCCCAAAATACCCTGACAAAATACTGTCCCATCCAAAGACCAAGCCATAATTCTCCAAGCAGCAAACAAAGCCAGTATTAAAGAATATGCCAATGTAATCAGAAATATAGTAGGCCTTAAAGTAATACAATACATTTCCAGAATCTTAAATGGTACAATATACATCTATCTAGATAAAAAAGAAATACAAGTCAGTAATAATTAATAATATTAAAATAGAAATAAGGCCTATGCTAATACTGGGACAATGTATCATCTTATAGAATGTCCCTTCAATAATACCCAATCTGACAATTAAGAACAACAATGTTCGACTCTGCTCCAAAATATCCTTTCTAAAAAGAGGAATGACTGATTCAGAATATTCCCATATTGTAAGTTTTATGAGACAAGTATACATAAACCCTGAAGATATCAAAACAATATTGAACTCATTTGTTATAACTTTAGAAGACACAACATACCGTATCTTTACATCTACTGATAAATTAAAGAGTTTCTTATATAAACAGAAGGAACATGTCCGAATTATACGAAAACAAGTGAAACTGCCACAACACTGATCAAACCTCAATACCTCACGCTATTGAAATTGAAACAGCAGAGGTAATACTAGTCAAAACTGGAATTAAACGACCACTTTCATAAACATCATCAGAACCTAAACCTAAACCTAAGACTATAAACCATAAACCTAAAAGACTTGAAATTCAAAACAACAACTCTAACTACATCCACAAAAAGAAACAATACCCCAGCTTATAAGAAAAGCTCAAGATCTACAACTGCATGTAGATTCAAAAAGTCTTTCCTAAAAACTGAAGAAAAGCTATAGTCATACCAATACCCAAATCAAACCAAAACAAATGCAAACGAGAAAGTTACCGACCAATAATCTTAACTAATATCATGTGCAAATTACTAGAGAATATTATGAAGATATTATCTGATGGTTCCTAGAAATTAACAATCTTCTAACTCCCATTTAATATGGTTTCCATTAATACCGCTCAACCACAGATGTTTTGAGTAATACAGAAATGAATATATGCGACACCTTCCAAAAGAAAGAACACCTGATGGCAATATACCTGGATATTGAAAAAGCATACAACATGATCTGAAAACCTAAAATAATTAAAACACTTATCGAAATAAATATCAATGGATACATACTACTTTTCATAAAAAATTTCTCACAAACAAGTATTTAAATTAGAGTCAATAGAATATTTTTTAACCCCACAAAAATCTAAATGAGGTACCCCAAGGATCAGTTTCCAGCATCACGCTATCTCAAATAGGAGTCAATGATATCGCAAAAGATATAATGTCCCTAGTCAAAGCTCACTTATTTGCAGGTGACCTCACACTCCCATACAATGATTCTCATATATATATACAGGGTGTCCGTTTTATCTCAATACAGTGAAATATCTTTTGAGGAAGTGATGTTAGGAAAAAAATGTTTTAACAAAAGTTGTTTGGTACGAGGAGGAAAATTATGTGGTATAAATATTTTTTTTGTACCAGGTATAGTGGGGGAGATTTCAAAGTCAGTTTAATTTTTTTTAATGGAATGCTATATTTTTTTATACATAATATGATAGTGTATGTTATGACGAGTTCAACGAGTACCACATAGGACCACATAAGGAACACAATTAATTTTCTAAAAGACACAAGTTTATACCACAGAATCTAATTACACAAAATGAAGGAAATTTAAAACACACCACATTGCTAAGGACCTAGCAGTCGATGCGACGCTATAAAAAAAAAAAAACTTTCAATCATTGACATATTTTGTTTAGATTACCTGCTACGAGCCGGAAATTGTTGGGCTGCAGCTTTGTTCTAAGACACAATTATCAGCACATGCTCAGATAGCTGGTGTAAAATCAGTCGGAGGTATAGAACCAATGATGGATCTTTCTCAGATAGCAGAAGCTAGTGCTAAACTGTCTTCCATGTTGGAGCAAGTTCTTGCATATGTTGATGATGTATTAACTGGAAAACAACCACCAGACAATCAAGTATGTACTCAGATTTATATTGTACAAATGTTCCCTATGATATAATCTAATACAAAAATATTTTAGGTGGGTCGTGCTCTCTTGGATATGGTACATTCAGTACCAAAAATGTCAAGCGATCAGTTTGACGAAATGTTTAACAGTAACGTGAAAGATTTATTGATGGTTGTCGCGCTTTCACAATTAATAAAAACACAGCTACAACTTAATGAGAAACTTACGTTACTCACAACTCTATAAATCTTATAACGTAATTTTGAAAACTGCGTAACACAATTTATATAAATAAAAAACATTTTAAATTTTCAAGACTGTTCATATTTATTCAGTATTAATTGTAATGATATTCTTAAAAATAAGAAACTAAAAATAAATAAAAGTATGCATATTCAATATACAAGTACAAATACAATAATTAATATACATATATTAACTATATTGTTATTTATGTACATAAAAAATTAATTTACTGAAGTAGCCCTTGTCTTAGGTATTACAATTTGGTTGTTGTATTTAGGATTGTCTATAAAGCTGACCCAATCAGGGACTCTATTAGATTTCAAATAATTCTCCTTTGTCAGAACTCTCGATCGTAAATCTGCAGTTCCGAAGATAGCACCTCCCAACCATGCCGTATAACTTGGTTTACTGGGTGCAGTGTGGAACATAAATGTTTGAATTTTTAATTTCTCAGAATAAAGATTGCTCTTTACAAGAGTTAACAGTTCGGACTTAAGACGACTTGCAAAGCCTTTTGTCATTACTGTACCACCAATTAATAATATATTTTGTGCCATAATTCGTCTAACATCTATTGGACACTGCAACAAAAAAAATTATATATCGAAAAAAAATAGACAAATTAAAAATATACATGTTTCAATTATACCTGCAGAATAGCATCCAAAATCATTGTAGGTATACTAAGATTATCATTATCCCTTTCAAATAATACTTCAAATGCTTTCTCTCTAAGTTCACCAGGTATAGTAATACTTTTACCTCCAGGGTATTTAACTGCTGGAGGAGGATTAGGAGCTTCTGGTGTACCTAATTTAGCAGATCTCTCCAATGTAGTAACAAAGCAAGTCCTTACTTTTATATCCTCCACAAGTTTTTCATCTATATCCATGTCAGGATATATCTCCTTCATAAATTTTATCAAATATCTATTACAAAAACATGATTGTCATAAAATAAATTAAGACAATAAAATATAAACTGAATCTGTATTATGAAATGTTCAACTTACTCGTGTACAATTTGTCCACCTAAAGGAAGAGCTTGCCAAGCCTTTAAAATTTGTTCACTTTCAAAAATTGGAATCACTGTAGCTTCTTTATATCCAACATCTAGAACTAGACCTGAATTAATGCCTAAAGTGCTCATAGTGGCTAAATGAGTAGGCAGTAACAGCAAGCATTCAATTTCAAAGTGCCTGAACAATACTTTAGCTAATGTTTCTCTAAACTGTGTTGGAGATAATAACGATTCCAAGACAACAACTCTAGCATCCTTTGGACATATTACAACGTGTCTAAACCAAAGAGCAAAAAATTAGCGTATGAGCTGAAATAAAATAACTATATTAGACGTGAAATCTTTACCTAGAAAATAAAAGATGAAAAAACTCAACAAGTAATTGATACAGATCTTTTGTGTCTATATAATCGTAAACTTTTCTGAGCTGTTTAGTTTCTGGACACTTAATTTCCGTCTTTATTATACCGCGTGGTGTAGCTTCGCCAGTGTAACCAAATCTGTTTTCAAATTATTTGTCAATATATTAGCATATTGAAATTTATTCGGTAAATATAGATACACATACTTTGTATATGCGCTACCGATATCAAATATAACCATTTGCTTGTCTAAAAGAAATCGTTCGTAGCTGGGCAGCATTTTGACAGACAGTTTCTTTTTGATACACCAGAAAGAATTTTGCAGTGAACTAACCTAAAAATGCATTAAGAAACAAATAAATATTTTAACTAAAACGAGTTTTTAATTTTTAGCTTAACAGGAGTTTCAATTAGCGTGAATATTACAAGTTATTTCACTTTTGTTTGTATTAATTTGACATTGGAAAAAGGAACGGAAATACAATCGATTGTAAACTTCCCTTTAATCCAAGACTGTTCAAGTCTGATTTACTTTATACCCTAATAGTATTCAAAATATGCAATTTTGGAAAAATGAATATATTTATTTTTTTATTTATTTAAACAGT